CCTTTCTTACAAATATTAACAGATTCTGGAATACTTCTTGAATCACTGGGTAGGGTAGTACGGCTAGTGGATTCGGGTTAAATACGCCTCACCAGAGAGGAGAACTGCAAAAGCGCAAGGGCAAGGGCGTGTCAGGGGCTGAATCTGGAACGGCCTATTTCCACCAGTTGTCATCGCTTGCCCGCTTGAACATTTGCTGGAAAACGAGCTGGAACCACGCCAAACCGAGCTTCGTACCAGCGTCTGCGAAGAAATGGCTGCATGTCAATGAGAATGGGTTACGAGTTCCGCGGCAAAAGGCGTTCTCGATGACGTCTTACAAGGCCCTAGAGGTCAGAAGGTCCGCTCACCTGGGATTTCGCTCTCAAGTGAACGCATAGCTTTATGGATATCTGATAATCAGAAAGTTTCACTCATGCAATGCATTTCTGGGCGCTCCATCAACCTACACTCCTTATCCCTGAGACAGAGTAGGCGTGGCATTTGAACATGGCATAAATGGGCTACTCGTGGGATATTTCAGTTTGAGACAACTGTCATCTTGTTCTGTGTTGGACAAGGCACGACCACAGTAGTGTCAAAATGAAAATATCTCACCAAAAACGTAGTCACCGCCACGTTTAGTTGAAGTACGCAGCCACACCTACCGCATCTCAGGGATTTCGAGATATTTGTAAATATTTTCATTCAAGGATTCTTTTGAATGGCTTTTCCTACTCCTTCCTCCTCAACAGCGCCGAAAAATTCAAGGCGTCTCACTTGTATTGCATCACAACACATTGCGCCATGTCCCTGAAGCCGTCTCGAGCCTCGTCATCCATCCATCCACATTCCATCGAAGTACAGTTGCAAAGGCATACCATCGAAGCTTCAAATTATGGCACTCAAATAAAGCGGGTTTCAACCCAAGAACTACCGAGTTTGGATAAAAAAGTTGTCACTAATACCAGTCTCAGGCCTAACTCAGAGCATTATACTCTGAAAGTACTACTGATATATCCCCGTAACCAGACGGCCGGAGCGGTGCCAGGAGGGCGGAATGAGCCCCTCTCTTTTTTGCCAATAGTGACCGACCTGTAGCGTGTGTAGCGCAGGAGATTCACGTTGCGGAAAAGAAATCTCAGCTAGCAGAGTACTTCAGGTCTAGTTGACTCGAGAACTTTCACACCAAATCATTTAGGTCCTGTTGCCAATCTGAGATCCGCTTTCGTCGCGCCGCTTCGACGTGGGTTTCACGCACTACTCTCTATTTTGGAACTGTCTAAGAAACCTGATTCTCCTCATCAGTTCCCAACGTAACGAGGTTACACAAATAGACATACTATCACTACATGTAGAGCATTTTGAGTAATGGGGTACTGCTTACCTTCATCGTCAAATCCGTGAACAAGCTCATGACCAATGGTACCTCCTTGACCAGCGAAGTTGAAAGCTTTTGGGAAGTCATAGCTGAAAGACAATTCAGTATTGTCCCTTGAGGAATAATCGATCCTACATCACTTCCTACTGAAGTTACTCTTCACCAAATCATTGTGGACTGAGGACGGATGTTTGCTGCGGCTTCTCTTCGTAGGTTGAAGTTGAACCCGCGATTGTATATTGTGGGTAGTGGCATTCAATTGCAAACCTATTATCGCCAAATAGCTTCTCAGGGAAGAAAACAAAAAA